GCTTGAACAATATCTGGGGGCCCTGCTGGTGCCCAGAAGATTGAGTTTCCTCTCCTGGCCACTGAGCCTTCCTGTGTGGATAGTGAACACCCCTCTGTCTTCTGCTTGGTTATCTCCCCTCTCCCATGCCAAGTTCCCACCAACTGAGGGCGAGCCGTGAGTGTGGGGTGCGCTCTACAGCCTCTGATATGATAACCTACTTCTCCTTATCCTGGTGGCAAGGGGAGAGGGTTCAGGGAGATCGGCAGGGAGGGATGAATGTGCTGTAAGTAGGGCGGAGCCCCTGGGGGCTAGGCATGGACAGTGTTCACAGGTGCTGGGCTAAGCAGTCTCCCTGGAGGAGGATAACCCAGGGTGGGCCTGCTGGGATCTGTCTTTGCCTTGCTACCTTCTCTCTCTCTCTCTCTGTCTCTGATTCTCTCATCACAGAGCATACATTCTGACTCAGGTAGTGTGCTGAGCAGCCCGGGCAGAGTAGGAGGAGCCCAGAGGGCAGTGGGGGCAAGCCCGGTGGCCTGGGGGGGTAACCTGCACTCTCTGCCCTTTTTCCAGGTGTGGGTTGGGAGCAGCAGCGGCCTGCCGCCCCTGGAACCTCTTCCTAGCGACCTGCCATCATGGGACTTTGCCCAGCCTGCTTTGTGGAGGTCGTCCCATTCAGTTCCTGACACCGCCTTTTCCCTTTCTCTAAAAAAATCATTCCCAGCCCTTGAAAACCTGGGCCCAGCACACTCCAGCAACGCTCTCTTCTGCCCAGCTCCGCCAGGATATCTGAGGCAGGGCTGGACCGCCCCAGAGGGAAGCAGGGCCTTTACCCAGTGGCCTGTTGGCTAGCCTGGGCCTCCCTGGAGAGGTTTGACAGTGGAGGGGAACAGGAGTGGCAGCTGGCCTGAGACCCCTGCTTTTGGGAGAGGCTAGAAGGGTTATAGTCCTGCCCACCATGTGCAGCTCCTCCCTGGGCGACTTGGAGTCTTTCCCATCTCAGAGCCCCCAAATGGGGGTAGCAAGGAGCACCTTTCTGGATCCCCCTATAGCATCCAAGTTTCTTTCTGGGCTCTCTTGCCTTTTCCCCCCTTTCACAGGTGGCACACCTGGGTATCTGTCCTTGCCTGTGTGATTTTGGAGTTTGGTGCCTTCCTGGGAACTAGCCAGTAGCTTATCTGCTTCCCCTCCCCTGGCATCACTTCCCATAGGCCTGGGGTTTCTAGACTGGGGCCTGACCACTCCTCCCCCAACTCCAGGAGTGAGTTGGCCTCCAGAGAAGACTCTGGCACAATTCCAACTAGAGTTAACCCATGCTGCCCTCTTCCCTTCCCACTCAGATCTAGCTCCTGCTTTCATTTCTGGCTAGTGAAGTAGACTTTTGTGTTTTGAGGTTTATTAGCAAGTCTGCTCAGGAACTAAACTAATGAGTAGCTTTATATTGGGCCACCCCAATATATGGCTTTGGGGGCTGATAAAGCAGATATAGACCCCCTTCCTGGGATCCCACTGGTGTGCCCTTTAGCACCCCGCAGACTCTGCGGGGTGAACAGGAGTGATGATAAAATTTTTCATTCTAACATTTGAGGCTTTGTGTGTTTTGTCCTTGGTCTGTGTCGTAACACTGACATCACTGTCCCTTGGTGTACAAACGCGCTCCTGCCCTGCCCCTCCAACATACACCCTCATAGACCTGCTGGCCCCACCTCCAGCCCCATAGCCAGAACTTCCCTAACAGAGACCCAGCAGGTGAAGACCTGCTGGCTCTCATGCTCTGGGCTGGCTAGCTGGGTGTGCCTGGGCTTGGTTAAACAGTAGGGGCATCTGTTTGGCATGGTGTGGGGATGCTGAAAACATCAGAGGTGAAGAGACATCTCTCTGAGAGTTCATTCCTTGGGCCACCCACTGACTAGGCACAGTCCATACCTCTCATCCCCTCCTGAGGCCAGAGAGAAAGAGGCCAGTTCCAGAGACTAGTGCCGCAGGGGCAGGAAGCCTCAGGCTTGACAGTGGGATGTCTCCTTGGGGCTTGGCCTAAGTGTCTTTAACTGGCCCAGATGCCCTAGGCACTGCTGGATTTATGAGCTTAGTGGGCTGGGACATTTCCCCCACTTGGAGTTCAACCTGAAGCTGAGAGTCTGGAGCAGTTGAGATCTCCTCCCTAGCTCCACTGGCTCCACTTCTTGGGGGCTGGTTAGAGAAGGATGAATTGAGATGGGCATATGCTCAAGAAGAAGGGGGCCAGAAAAGCCTAGAGAGCTGGACCTTAATGCATTGCCCTTACGAGTTTTCCAGGGCTGTGGGAGGAGGCCGCTTCAGACTACCCTTGAGGCTTCCAGAGTTCAAGAGCCACCAAGGGTAGGGGTGTGCACTAGTGCCCTTGGTACCATTTGGGCCCCATTCCCAAGCTGCTCAATCCTTAGGAAGAAAAGCTTTAGGAAATCTGTGAAGGCAGCAAGACTGGGGCTTAGTGTTGAGTGGTGATGACCTGCACTCAGGGAGAGTGGGCCATGACCTGGCAGGCATGGCCCCTAACTACAGCAGGGTGTCTAAGTGCAGGGCTGCGGGCAGGGCAGCTCTTTTGAGTGCCACAGGCAGTCACAGCATTCTGCCCCTGGCTTGATCTCTTCACATCAGCCTCTATCTTCTCTCTTATCTCTAGGACAAAGAATGCTTTTCTCCTGAGGCCCCAGCATGGAAGTTCTGGATGTTCCCTTTGAGATCTGTCTCCCTCCACCCCTTCTCTTCTGGGTTGTGTAACCAAGCTCTTTCATGTTCTGTGTTGTCTGAACTTACGCTGTGCCTAGACTTCGGACTTTCACAGGCTCCCCAGAAAACCTGGGGACTGCAGCCACAGAGGGTCAATCCTGGCACAGAGAAGTCAACAATCACTTTAGCTTGGCTTTGTAACACAGGGAAAGCTTTTGTCATGTTTGTGTTTTTTCCCCCAGCAGCAGATTTACATTCCTAATTCTGTTTGCTCAGGCGAAAGTTAGCTTTCATTCCTTGAGAGATAATCAATGGAGGACAGGCTGGGGGAAGCCAGCCCGGTCTGAGATTTTAATTTTGCTTAGCTAATCTCCAAATGGATAAGCCACTTGTGGATAATTGAAGTTTGGCTGTCTGTCATCTTTAGGTAGCAAAGCATGACAGGCAAAGCCTTTAGAGAACAGATCCCAAAAGAAGGTTGGCAAGAGAAACCAGGCATCTCTTTCCTATCCCTCTTGTGGCTCCTTCTCCTAGGGACTGTGGCGGACAGAATCCTGAATGTGCTTTCAGCCCCTGCCTCAGCCTCCCAAGTAGCTGGGACTGTAGGCATCCGCCACTACGGCAAGCTAATTTTTTTTGTATTTTTAGTAGAGATGGGGTTTCACCATTTTGGCCAGGCTGGTCTCGAACTCCTGACCTTGTGATCTGCCCACTTCAGCCTCCCCAAATGCTGGGATTACAGGTATGAGCCACTGCACCTGGCCTCAGCCTCATTTTCTTACACTTGATCCACTTGTTCCTGTGAGTTCTGAGGCTTAGAACATATTCTCTCTCACCATTGGAGGGGTGATCTTTGGGTCACTGCCTGGCAGAGCTAACTCTTGTTCCCAAATAAACCAACAGGTGTACCTCTCTTTCCTGGGGTGGAGTGTTCATGCAGCCCCTGCCCTGGTTTACTAATTATAGACTGCTGGGCTGTGTAGAGGCTCTGAGTGTTTTCTGCCACTGTGGCCTGTCACTGGGTCATGAGGTCCTTGGCTGGGGTGGGGCCCACCTGTGCCATGAGAGCAAGCATCCATGGTGCTTCTTTCTTCTTTTTCTTTCTTTCTTTTTTTTTTTTTTTT